GGATGTATTTGGGGGCCTGACCATGAAGTGCTCTGAAAGTTAAAACTAAAATTTTAAAATGACTCCTCAAAGGCACTGGGAGCCAGTGCAGAGAGGCTAAAMYWGGTGTDATGTGGGCTCTCCTGTGGGTCTTTGTTAATAACCTCAAATAACTCTGGTTAGTAAAGTAAATGTTACATCATGATAACAAGTGATAAGAACGTTTTACATGTTTGTAAACAAAACAAATGCTTTGTGTTGATGAAGTAAATTTAATTTGTCTGACTCAGTGTCCCTGTAATAAGTCTGATCCTCGCTCCTTTCTGTTTGACTCTGTCCCACTTTGTCTTTAATCAGAGTAAAAGCATCTCCACCATCAGCCTCTTTAATCAGCACCTTCACTCATCTCTTTAATTATCAGGGTCCCWACAAAGCTGAGAGGGATCCTTACATCAGCTTCTGCTGGGGATGTGAGAGCAACGGCTTCTCAGTCAAAGAAAACCACTTGTCATCTTCATTTTTCTTCGAGTCTTCAAATGGAATATTGTTGTTGTTGTTGTTTTTTCATTCAAGATATAACACTGAACCAAAAAAACGGTTTTCTCGTCTGGTCAAATATTTAGGAGTAACTAACTTCTGTTTTAACTAAATCACTTTTCCCATTTCAGAGATAAAAAAGAGAACTCRGATTTAAGTGCTCATGTTTGAATCAATACCTTAGTTAAGTGAATGAATGTGTTTTATTTTAGTTGTTTCAGCCTCAAAGCAGCATTAAACGTTTTCACAGAGGAGACAGTTTCAGTTTGCATTACACAGTAAGGAACACAAACTGTGAAAAGATCAAATAAACTAAATTTAGCACAAAAATAAATKAAATGTGTTTGGCAGATTGCTGTATTTCTTTGTTTTAACAATGCTTCTTGGCAATAAATCTACCACTGGAAAGCCTGTTAGTTTCTTTTTTTAAATGGTGCCACATTTGTAAGGAACAAGAATTTGTGGGATGAGCAGTAGGGCTGAGTATGTGGGTTGCACACATGAAAAACTTGCTACTGTAGATCTTCTCTGTCAAACAGCTTTTTTTGTTGTTTGTTGTTTTTGACACCAGTGCCAATCAGGTGCCCACTATAAGATTTATTGCCAAGAATAATTGTTACAACAAAGAAATTATCTTGCAAACACAAAATTACATATTTTGTGCCAAGTATAAATTTAGCAAACATTTAATCTCCACTAAAACATACAAACAAGTAGTAAAACATAATTAAGTTTTTCTCATTAGAAATCCCCTTTTTAGTCATTRAATGCATTTTRTTGTGTACATGGAGTGCAGCAGATGAATATAGTCTCTCCTGGTGCTGTGTTGTGTCTTTATATTCTGTTTGGATCATTTTACAACCTGTTCAGTTTTCTCTATTTTCTATGATGTTTTCTGAACTGTTACTAAGATCTGGATTTACCAATTGCAATTTGGTGGTCTTCATTCTACTTTGGTTCTGGGTCAGACTTTGGCTCCAACATGTAAAGCTGGTTTAACAAGTCTTCCCTTGTTCACAACTTTTAATTAATTTGTAAATAAAAAGTGTCTGTGCCGCTGTGTAATCATAAACCCCTCCACTGAACTGGAATGGACCACTCTGGAAGCTGGAGAGGGGCGGGGTGTGAAGCACTTCCTTTGAATTTAAAGAGACAGCCTCAAAATGAGTTGATCTGTGAAACACCTCAGAAAAGGGGTGAAAGAGGGGCTTGTGGAGTTACAATAAGAAGGAATTCAGACTAAAGCATCACAGTACCATTTTTATAGATCCCAACTGAAGGATTTAAATGTGTGATGTCATTAAAGTGAAAATGATGAAATTTTAAGCAATATTATTTTAAGTTTAAGATTCAAAGCACAAGTGTTTTTGAACCCAATTTGCATTTATTAATTTTTTTAATTAATCTCTGAAAAGCTTAAAAGAGCATTATCATTTCAAATAAATCTTTTTTTAGCTTCATATCATGTTATAATGTTATCCTCTCATCAAAAACATGCCCAGAGTCTTTGACTCATTCATGCATGTTTGTGAAATCCTGTAATGTCCTGTGGCAGCCATTCAGGAGAACAAAAATGACAGGTTGGGCCTAGAACCGTCTTCTAGGTGCAGCTCCTCCTCCTGTGTCTCCAAGCCAAGCTTCCACATTACAGTGCACACCTTCCCCGTGACTCCTGCAGGCTRTCAGCAGCAACAACTAGCAAACAACTTGTGAAACCGTGTATGTGCATCTGCTGAGCTCGTAATACTCCTGAGTCCAGTCCTTTTTGGATTAAAAATGCCTTTGGGAAATGGATTTTCAGATGCCAAGGATGACACGGTTCTTAAGAAGTTGTTGGACTTCAATTTTGTAACCCTCCCACAAAACATTTTTTTTTTTTTGTGCAACCCTTTTTAGGGATGATAGCTTTCTGAGCAAAAGGGAATTTAACAGTGGATGAATAACATGATTATCACAAAAAGACGATTCAAGTCCAACACTCAGAAGTACGAAACACCACTGTCGTCTGCCCAGGTAAGCTGAAAAACAACTCCCGTGGTTTTGTTCGCATCATTGATTGTTGTTTGGTCGATCTGTGATCTACAGTTAAATTTCGTTACTTATATTACGATCTGTGTTCTTAAGTTGGCTTACACCACATTTTATCAATAAATAAATTAGCCTAACATTAATGTGTGTGTATTTGAGGATGACTGGGAGATATCTTACCAAGCTGAAACAACGCCTCTCTACTCAAGCTGGTACTTCAGAAAACGTACTTTCCAGTCAGACGTGGGTTCATTCAAGTAAGGTTCATTTGTATCCTGAGTTGCTGTTTTCCAAAACTGATGTTGTATAATGTTGCTGCTTTTTAAATTGTTATTACAATAAAATACAACACTCCTAAGACCAGTCGTAAATGGCATGAAGTTGTTGTGATGGTGAGAAGAAATGGAAGTGGTGGAATTGGAAGAAGGTTCTTAAAGAGAAAGAGGCCAAAGGTGTTTAGAAACTACGATGGAGTATTAGGGCCACACAATGAGAT